CCCACCTGTCCAGGGATGGCACCACCCACAGTGGGCTGGGCCCTCCCACATCACACAACAATCAAGAAGATACCCCACAGACATGGCCACAGGTCAGTTCAATGGAGGCAATTCCCCAATTGAGGCTCCCTCAACCCAGGTTTGTCAAATTGACACTAAAGCTATCCAGCACACTCCCCCCAAAAAAACCAACCAAACATATATACATGAAAAATCTTAACACTAAAACCATTTAAATATATATATTTAACTCTTGGTAATATTTTCTGACCCTTTGCTACACAAATTAAGGATATTAGCAGTTTAAAACTTCTTCCTTCTCCTGCCGCCCCTAGTCCCCCCCTTCTGCTAATTATAAACCTCTTTATCTGCTCTTCTGTGTCCATCCATACTTCCACTGCTAATTTTTTTTTTGGTTTTGCTTTGGACAGGGTCTCACTTTGCAGTCCAGGCTGGCCTCCAACTCCGTATCTCCTGCTTCAGCCACCCAGTGCTGGGATTATAAGCGTATTTGGCTCTGCCCACCCACAGTCTCACTAATCACAGCTTCTTCACTCATTTACTATTGGTTGGGTGAATTTCATTGTCAGCTCCTGACCCAATTTCTTGCATGCTTAAGAATGCATGGGTTGGGAGAGTAATTTCCACTTAAAACCACATAGAGGGGCTGGAGAGATGGCTCAGCGGTTAAGAGCACTGACTGATCTTGCAGAGGACCCAGGTTCAATTCCCAGCACCCACATGGTGGCTGCAAACCATCCTTAACTCCAGTTCCAGGGGAATCCAAAGCCCTCTTCTGACCTCTGTGGCATTGCACAACATGGGTGCACTCACTTACATGCAGGCAATACACTCATACACATAAAATTTAAAAAAATAAATAAAATATTAAAAAGAAAAAAAAAACACATAGAGATTCTGATATCCTCCTGCTCTGGAATTGGGACTCAGGTCAGCTTTTGGGTTTTTGTAATTGAAGAACCCTGTGGTTGCCAACCACCATTTAGAAAAAAAAATTATTGTTTGAGAATGTTATACATGTATATAATGTGTTCTAATCAAATCCACCCTTCATTACCTCGCCTCCAATTCTTCCTGTACCCCCCCCACTATTATCCCCCACGCCATTATTATTCCCTCCCAATTTCATGTGTTCTTTTTTGGTCTTTTTTTGAGACAGGGTCTCCTTGTAGCCCCAGCTGTCCTGGAACTCACTATGTAGACCAGGCTGGCCTTGAACTCACAAAGATCTGCCTGCTTCTGCCTCCCAAGTGCTGGGATTAAAGGCATGCACCACCATGCCCAGGAATATGTGTGTTCTTTTTTTTCTTTTTTAAATCCACTGACTCCACTTAGTGCTGCTGGTATGAGCATGGGAAAACCAGTTTACTGAACCATGGGTAACCTATCAGGGGGTTACATCCTTGAAGAAAACTGACTGTCTCACCCAACATCCATCGGTTGCCAACAGCTCTTCGGCTGGGGTGAGGCTTTGTGACCCCATCCTCCCTTCATGCTGGGATTTTTCTGGCTTGATTTTACACAGGTCTTGTGTACACAGTCACAACTCCTGTGAGTTCATATATGCAGCTGCCCTGTTGTGCCTGAAAAAAAAAAAAAAACAGTTCTACTGCAGTCATCCACTGCCTTTGGCTCGTAGGATTCCTCTGTCCTCTCTGCCTCAGTGAACCCTGAGCCTTGGGAGGGGGTGGGAGTCAGATAGTGGTATCTCATTTAGGGCTGGACACTCTTCAATCCCTTATTCTCTTCATATTGTCCAGTTGTAAGTCTTTGTTAACTGCTATGTACTACAACAAGAAGTTCCTTTGAGTCTGGGCATGATGGCAATGCCTTTAATCCCAGCACTCAGGAGGCAAAGGCAGGCAGATCTCTGTGAGATCAAGCCCAGCCTAGTCTTACATAGCAACTTTCAGGCCAGCTGCGGCTGCAGGGAGACCCTGTCTCAAAAAAAAAAAAAAAAAAAAAAAGAGAGAGATGCACTAATCTATAGGTACAACAATAAGTCATTAAGAGTCAATTTAATACTGTGTCCATTTAGCAGAATAATAATAGTAGGTACTCCCCTATGGCCCGTGTCCTGTTTAGCACCTGATTTTTAGCCCTGTTAATGGTGTCAGGCATGAGTTCCTCCACCTTGTAGAGTGGGCCTTAAATCCAATTAGAAGATAGTTGGTTACTTCCATAACATTCATGCCTTTATTGCACCAGCGGGCATGTCTTGCCAGGCTGGTCATTATTGTAATTCACAAGGTTTATGTGCTAGATAGCTTTAGTTGCCAATTTGACATACCTGGATAGAGGGAGCCTCAACTTGTGAACTGCCTCCATTGGACTGGCCTATGACCATGTCTGTGCAGCATCTTCTTGATTACTGAGAGATGTGGGAGGGCCCAGCCCACTGTGGGTGGTGCCACCCCTGGGCAGTGGGCCTATGTTATATAGGAAAGCAGGTTCAGCAGGGGTCAGGGAGCAAGCCAGTAAGCAGCGTTCCTCCATGGCCTATACTTCCCCTCCTACCTCCAGGTTCTTATAATATCTCCCCCTGCAAAGAAAAATTACAGATTATAAGACTATCAGAGCTTTGTTCAGTGACACCTTTTGACCATAAAGCAAAATTCAAGGTTGTGAAAAAGGGAGATAAAATGAATAGGAAAAAATTTGAAGTAAAAAAAATGAGTATATTTTCATTCTATTTTATGGCTACCTATGAATATATAAATCACATGTCCAAAATATTTCAGTCCCAGTTTCAATTATTCTCTATTCAGTAGGATAACAGATGTATAAAATATGGCCTCTTTATGTTCCAGTGAGCAGTGGTCACTCAAGGACTGCTCATCTTTTGTCACAATGATAAATAAATTCCTACAGTTGAGTAGCAACTGAAAATTCCTTCAGGCTCTGTGAAATCCTTCCTGCGCAGTGTCTCCATTAATTTCACTCAGCCCTTATCTGATCACCTGCTGCCCCTCTTTCCCTTCTTGTCACCAACACCTGGTCTTCAACAACAGAGTCCTTCAGTCTGCCTTAGAGAGAGCGCTTTGAGATAGTCCTCCTATAATGAGGCCAAAATATGTTACTTTTTTAGATTTAAAAAAAAAAAATAGAGCCAGGCATGGTGGTGCACACCTTTAATCCCAGCACTTGGGAGGCAGAGGCAGGCAGATCTCTGTGAGTTCCAGGCCAGCTGGGGCTACAGGAAGACCCTGTCTCCAAAAGACAAAAAAATAAAATAAAGATAGGGCTGGAGAGATGGCTCAGCGATTGAGAGCACTGACTACTCATGCAGAGAAACCGAGTTCAATTCCCAGCACCCACATGGCAGCTATGAACCGTCCTTAAGTCCAGTTCCAGGGGAATCTGAAGCCCTCTTCTGACCTCCGCAGCATTGCATGACATGGGTGCACTCACATATATGCAGGCAATACACTCATACACATAAAATAAAAATAATAAATGAAATATTTTTTAAAATAAATAAAAAGATAACTCTCTCTCTCCAGTTTTATAAGGCAAAGTCTCCCGTAGTCCTTTAGTTTCTATGTCCTTGGTGGTACAGAAGATTATTTTAGGTGACTGTGGGAGTTTTTCTAAGCTATAATAATCACACCTTTTTACTTAAAGCATGCTAGAAATTATATATCTAACAAACTGGTAATGATAACAAAGTTTTATTTTTAATGTAAAAGTGAGCACATTTAAAGAAAATATAAGTAGAGTCTGAGAGATGGCTTAGTGGTTAAGAGTGCTTCCTGCTCTTTCAAGGGACCAGAGTTCCATTCCCAACATCCACATTGGGCAGCTCACAATTGTCTATAACTCCAGCTCCAAGGGATCCAACACCTTCTTTTAACTTCCACAGGTACCCACACCACATGCACATACTCACACACAGACGCATATGCATGTAAATAAATATAAAATAACAAATATTTTAGGTGCTAGAGAGATGACTTAGCTGTTAAGAGCATTGGCTGCTCTTGTAGAGGACCTAGGTTTGGTTCCCAGCACCCACATGGTGGCTAAAAACCATCTGTAACTCCAGTTCCAGGGGTTACAATGCTCTCTTCTGACCTCCCTGGGCATTGCATGACACAGGTGCTCTTACATACAAATGGGCAATATACTCCTGCACATAAAAATAATAATAATAAGTTGGGTGTGGTGGCGCACTCCTTTAATCCCAGCACTTGGGAGGCAGAGGCAGGTGGATCTCTGTGAGTTCAAGGCCAGCCTGGTTTACATAGTGAGTTCCAGGACAGCTGGGGCTACGGGGAGACCCTGTCTCAAAAAGACCAATAATAATAATAATAATAATAATAATAATAAAGTATGTAAATATTTTAAAAGAAAAATATGTGATAGTGTATGGAAATACATATGTATCCAAAACTGTGGATAATATGCAAATAACTGGAAATTCAGGAACATAAGAATGTTGACATCAGGAATACACAGACATGGAAAAATGACACAAATGTGCAAAAGGAGAACTTATGAAAGGAGAATATGGAACTCTGAAATCTCTATTTAAATATTAGATCAGTAAATAAAACTAACTGTATGAAAACCTAGTATCCAATGTGATGGGTTTCATGTGCACCACGCATTCCTGAGTTGATGCACAATTCCAGCACCTTCTCAGTAACTCTGCCTTTAGAAGACACACAAATGAAAACCGCTGTGATAAAGCTTCAATCTAGTCCAATTCATTTTTTAAAGTCTAAATTTTCTAGATTCACTCCTCCACACACATACAAGAGTAAATAACTGCAACTATGTGCTTGAACTATCACTAATGAATCTTTTCAGCCTTCCCCACAGTAGGCCAACACCTTCATACTTGCAAACCAGAAGTCTCACGAACTAGCTTAGATCTAAGATATCAAATCTAGAGGCCCCTACTGGGGAATTTGTGCTTTGGGGAACCTTTTCCTTTTTGTTTCTTTCTAATAACACCCCTTTCCTCTCTCACACAGACTGTGGGGCGAGAACTGCTGCTCCACCTGATAGACTATCTCGTAAGCAGGCACGGGAAAGACCTCGAAATCACAAACCTAATCAACAGCACTCGGATCCACATCATGCCTTCAATGAACCCAGATGGATTCGAAGCTGTCAAGAAGCCTGACTGTTTTTACAGTAATGGAAGGTAAAGATGGGCTGCTCTAACTTTACTTGAAAGCAAGGCAAAGCAACATACAGGCTTCAATCAGGAAGCCCTGGCAAGAGGAGCCTCCTCACAATCAGCATCTCAGATCCTGTGTGTCACGGGTGTGCTGAGACGCTTCAGGCCACCATCTTGTAGGAGGAAACTTAGCACCTAGGACTCTGCCTGGGCTGGCCACTCCTCTTCACCCTCCCTGCTTTGGGCACTCTGATCCTTGTCCTGGAACTCACAGGTCTTTCTCAGCTCAGGTACTTTGTACATCCATTTCCACTCTTCATCCCCTCCAACTGTCTAGATATCATTTCCTCAAAAACTCCTTCCCCAGCCATGTAGTATGTATCTGGCAACTTGTATACTCTCAGATCCCCTGGCACTTTACCGTCATAGCATAATTTTTAATGTCTAATTTTGGAGGGGTTTTTTGAGACAGGGTCTCCCTGTAGCCCCAGCTGTCCTGGAACTCACTATGTAGACCAGGCTGGCCTTAAACTCACAGAGATCCACCTGCCTATACCTCCCGAGTGCTGGGATTAAAGGCATGCACCACCAAACCCAGCCAATGTCTAATTTTTTAAAATTTTTATTATATTTATTTACTTACTTGTGGGGCAGGGTAGGGAGCATGCTACTGCAAATGTGTGGCAGTCAGAGGACAACTTGCAGGAGTTGGTGCTTTCCTTCCACCATGTGGGTCCCAGGGATCAAATTCAGCCTGGCAGTCTTGGCAGCAGCCATCTCACCAGCTCCTAAAGTCTAAGTTCTGGTTTAAAGTCTCCCCACTGAACTGTAAGCTACTGCAGACAGGAGCAATGCCTGTTTATCATTGCTAGTTCCTCATTGCCTGGTGTAGTGTCGAGGCCTTCTAGAATTATCCATTGGTTTATTAAGTCACAAAGAGTGGGTTTTATAGTAGATCTGGTTTAACACTTTATTTTGTTTCAAATTGCCTCAGGAAATTTAGCATTTCTCAAATGTTTAGTATGCACATATATTTGTGTAGTTTATAAATTTGTTGATAAAAATTATTTTGTATATGAGTGTTTTGCCTGCATGTATGTAAGCGAACTACATGCATGCAATGCCCACAGAGGCCAGAGGAGGCTGTTATAACCCCTGGAACTGGTGTTATAGATGGTTGTTAGCCATCATATGGGTGCTGAAAACCAAACGTGGGTCCTCTGCAAGAGCAGCCGGTGCTCTTAATCTCTGAGCCGTCTCTCCAACCCCCTCCCCACCCACCATAGCATTTTTATTGACTGTTGGTTCTGTAAGTCAGGGAGTTACTGTAAGGGACAGGGCAGTACACCAGTCTCCACAGCCTTTTGGGGGGTGGGGGCGGGAGGGGGTTGAGACAGACTCTCCACAGGCTTTTTAAATTGACAGTTGGTTCTGTGAGTCAGGAATTTGAGAGGGGCAGGGCAGGGCAGGATGTCAGTCTGTATGCTTCATCTGGGGCTCAGGTCAGGTCTCCTGAGACAACTAGCAGGGGCCATGTGTCTGGAGTTACCTGGGTCCATCATTGTTCTGCATGGCCTCTCCTTGTGGCTACCATTGGAGAGCCTCAGGGTCTGAAAGACAGTGTTCCAAGAACAAAAAAAATCCCAGAATGCAAACAATTGTCTAAACTTTGCTTGTGTCACAGAAGCTAATGTCCCATTGGTGAGAGCAAATCACAGAGTAGGGGACCACAAGGGATGTGACTTCAGGTATTATTCATGGGAGGTCTACGTAGCAACTGTCCACTGCACTTGTGTTCATATGTGGAAATCACCTAGGGCCTAAAACCACAGGTCTGTGCATAGCAAGAACCGCCTCCTCCCACACCACCAATAAAACCCTAAAATCTTCTTTCTTTTAAAGGGAAAATTATAACAAGTTTGACCTGAACAGAAATTTCCCTGATGCTTTTGAATATAATAACATATCAAAGCAGCCTGAAACTTTGGCAGTCATGAAGTGGCTGAAAACAGAGACATTTGTCCTCTCTGCAAACCTCCACGGTGGAGCCCTTGTGGCCAGTTACCCATTTGATAACGGTGCACAAGGTAAGCAGTTGGGCCCAGTTCCCACAGACCAGAGCTGCAACAGCTGTGTGAAGCAGAATGAACTCTTCGACTCCAACTTAACTCCCCTGGCTGGGCAGGAAGAAGCCTCACTTTTCCTGAGCAGTCCTTCCTATAACTGCTTGGTTTTTGTGGGGGAAGGGGGAGGAGAACCTGGTCTCATGTATGCCAGATTGGTCTCAAAGTAGCTTATATATCTGAGGAGGACTTTGAACTTCTGATCCTCCTGCTTCTGCCTCCCAAGTGCTAAGATTACAGGCATGTACCAGCAGGCCTGGTTTATGAGGTACTGGAGCTCAAACCCAGGGCTTTGTACATGCTAGACAGGCAATCTATCAAGTAGCTACACTCTGAGCTCTTCTGTAATTCTTAAACAGCAAATGGGCAGTGTGACAGAACTGACAACCAGCATAAAATGGTACAGTCAGATGTAGGTTATATCACAGACTTAAGTTATGTGGCTAAAAGAAAACAGACCCAGAGCTACTTAACCTTTTTTACCTTTTTTCTAATCACATGAACAGTGATGACTCCTTAGACTCTGTAGGATATGAAATGTTTAAGGACTGAAAATATGATGGCGGTGTCCTTTAACCCCTAAGGACACCCTAGGAAAGTTTGCTGAACTCCAAAAGTTGCCAAGCATGATGAAGTAGTCACTTAATTTTGAGGCTGGTCTAGGAGTTTGGAGATTATTTATATATATATATATATATATCTTATTGTTTTGTGAGATAGCATGTCATTCATTGACCATCATCGAGGGGACATTAGCAAAATAGGGAATGAGAACATTTGTGTGTGTTGTGATTATGTATCCGCTGATATGATGTACACTTCCTCTGACTCTAGAGTCAGTTGAAAGCTCTTGTTTTGTCTTCCTGATACAGCAACGGGGGCATTGCTGTCCCGAAGCCTAACTCCAGATGATGATGTTTTCCAACACCTGGCATATACCTATGCTTCAAGGAATCCCAATATGACAAAAGGAGATCAGTGTAAAAATAAAATGGACTTTCAAAATGGAATTACTAATGGATACTCTTGGTATCCACTCCAAGGTGAACTCTTCACTGCTTACTTTCCCTTACTGTCTTCCCCCAGAAGTGCCAGCTGTTGTCAAGAGCCCTTTAGGTACAATGCCGTCCCTCAGTCTCATCTCCATCAGCTAACATCACAGGTGTGTGGGGGCAACTGATAGTTGGGGAGATGCTCAGATATGCTCCTCACTGCAATGGCCTCCTTCATTTATTCAAAAGTTTACTCAGTATGTACTTACTTGATCCAGGACAGTGCCAAGAGAGATGAAAGACACAGATATCACCTTCAAATCTGATGCAGAAAAGGAATTGTGAGAGCAATGCTATTAGAATAAGAATAGAGATTTTAGGGGCTTGGAGAGTTGGCTCAATGGTTAAGAACACTGATTGTTCTTGCAGAGGATCCCAGCACCCACATGGTGGCTAACAACCATCAGTAACTCCAGTTCCAGAGGATCCGACGCCCTCTTCTGACCTCCACAGGCATTGCACAACATGGGTGCACTTACATATATTGTAGGCAATATACTCATACACATAAAATAAAAATAATAAAATAATTTTTCAAGAAATAAAGAATAGAGATTTAGAAAAGGTGCTGAGTATCAAAGAGCTGCACAGTCAACACCAGGGGGGAAGTGCAGACCTTGGAGGAGGGTGATGCTTGTGTCCTACCTCAGCTCCACTGAGGTAGGACTATGTGGCAGTGCAGCCATTGCTGGTCCTTGGTCCTTCCAACTTAAAAAGGAGGTTGGATATCATGAAGAAATCTCTTCAGGCAGGCCTGGGGAAGGGGGCTTCCAGTTTTACACCCTTGAATAAATGGCCAAGTAAAGGAGGAGTGATTGCTATGTAGGATACTCTGAAGGAAGGATAACCCTTTTCTTTCCTTTTCTTTTCTTGGGGGGCAGTATTGGAGATTGAATCTAGGCATTCATGATCCCCACACATGCTAGGCAAGCACTCTATCATTGAACTGTATTATATCCCTATCCCTCTCTTTTTACTTTCTTAATTTTGAGATAGGGTCTAACTAAATTGCCCAAGATGGCTTTGAACTTTCAAACCTCATGCCTCAAGTAGCTGGGTTTATAGATCTGTACAGCCAGGTTTAACTCATTCTTTTTTTTTTTTTTTTTATGTGTACGTGTGTATTGCCTGCATGTAAGTGCACCCGTGTCGTGCAATGCCCATGGAGGTCAGAAGAGGTTGTTGGATCCCCTGGAACTGGAGTTATAGACAGTTGTTAGCTGCCATGTGGGTGCTGGGATTCGAACCTGGGTCTTCTGCAAGAACAACCAGTATTCTTAACCGCTGAGCCTGCTCTCCAGCCCAGTTTAGCTCATTCTTATCAGAAAGAGTAATGTAAAGTAAATATAACCCCAGGGTATCTAAGAGCTCAAAGTAATCTGGAAACTGAAAAACATTAAGGAGGCAATTAGGAAAAGAGGGCAAGAGGAGAAACTGTGGGCTGAAGGCAAATAGCATTCCCTTCCAGGCCGGGCGGCCTGACCCTACAAGCAGCAAGCTGCAGTTTGCATTTCTACACAGGCCACTTCCAAAGGCGCCTCCCCAGCTGTCACTTTGGAGCCATGGACTGTCTAGTGATCTAGCACAAACTGGTACTTCTGTGTCTGGGCGGCCCGCTGCCAGTTTTCCAGATGCAGTAAATAAGCACAGACCACAATTGATGGTGCTCAAGCAGCAGGCCAGGCTAAAGTCCACGGCACCCTAAACTTCATGCTGTGCTCCAGGATGTTCCCCACCCTTACCACAGGCCTCCAGTAGTCTTGCCCTCACCTCTTCAAAGCTACAAAGGACCCTTCTGTCCAGTGACACAGCTGTCCTTCATGCTCATTGTAACTTTCAAGACAAATCCAGATGTGTAGAAAATTTACTAACTTCCCATAGTTGTTGAAAGTTGTTTCCAATTATGTGTGTATGAGTGTGTGTCCTTGGAGAAAACACCGGCACAGCAGCTGCCCTGTGAGCATAGAGCCAAGTGTCCTGGGCCACCCGCAAGTTTTGCTGGCCAAGCCTGGCTAGCCTCACCCAGAACTTTGTCCATTCCCCATGCTTGACATTTTCAATACTGAATACTTTTCTTGATCCCTAAATTCCTTTTACCTGAAATACCCAGTCAGTCAAGGACTTTGTTTTCTTTTTCTTTTCTTCCTCCTTTTTTTTTGTGCTCACATGCGTGTGTGTGTGTGTGTGTGTGTGTGTGTGTGTGTGTGTGTATGAAAACGAATTTTGAAAGCCAGGCGTGGTTTTAACCTCAGCACTTGGGAGGCCAAGGCAAATGGATCTCTGTGAGTTCAAGGCCAGCCTGGTGTACATAGCAAGTTCCAGGTCAGCTGGAGCTACAAGGAGACTCTGTCTCAAAAAAGACAAAAAAAAGAAAAAGAAATGAAAATGGATTCTGAAAGAAATATAAAATCTGTAAGATAAAAAGAGAAATGGAAAAGATAGAAAAGTTATTAGAAGTTCTGACTAGAATCTAGGTCTATATAGATAACAGTATTTTTAACCTTATTTATTATTTTTTAATTTTATGTGTATGAGCATATTGCCTGCATGTATATAAGTGTACCTGTGTCATGCAATGCCCTTGGAGGTCAGAAGACGGTGTGGGATTCCCCTGAAACCGGAGTTATGGACGGTTGTTAGCTGCCACGTGGGTGCTTGGAATCAATCCTGGGTCCTCTACAAGAGCAGCCAGTGCTCTTGACCACTGAGCCTTCTCTCCAGCCCAGATAACTTAATATTTTGACCATTTTCTTGAAAGTAAATTTCTCAAACACCCTGATGGAATTGAGAATACATATACTTTCTTGGGCAGATACTATATTAGTCATTTTTTCTTATTGCTGGTATAAAATACCTGACAGAAGCAGCTTAAAGGAAGAAGGTTCCGTTAGCTCACGCTTTCATGACAGGAGGCCTTGCCCCAGGAGCCCAGTCCACCCATGGTGGTGGGATGCCAACATAACCCATTACATCTTGGCAGATCCAGAAGCAGAGACCTCAGGCCAGAATGGGACAACCACCACCCTTTGGCCCTACCCCTGTAGCCCTACACCTCTGTCAAGGCCCATGTCCAAAAGGTTTCCCAATGTCCCAAAACAGCACCACCAACTGAGGACCAAGTGTCCAGGTACATGAGCCTGTGGGGAACATCTCACATTACATAATACCAAGTAGCATGTGCCACAAAGTAAACTGTGCTTCCTTCAAAGCTCCTATAGGGCTGATGGTATAGCTCCATGCAGACCACTTAACTAGTGTGCATGAGACTCTAACACAAAAAAAGAGTAAAAAAGGTAAGTTGCTGCATTTCATCAAATCTAAGATGCCATCAAAACAAACACAACATACTATCAGAAAGGAATATTAAAAACTTCTCAGTTAAATACATATTTTTCAGGTATAAAATTTAAGCTATATACCAATTTAGAGATATTAAATATGAGGTTTTTAAAATATTTTATTTATTATTTTTATTTTATGTGTATGAGTGTATTGCCTGCATGTAGGTAAGTGTGTTGTGCAATGCCTGAGGAGGACAGAAGAGGCCATCGGACCCCCTGGAACTGGAGTTACAGACAGTTGTTAGCTGCCATGTGGATGCTGGGATTCGAACCCAGGTCTTCTGCAAGAACAACCAGTGTTCTTAACCACTGAGCCATCTCTCTAGCCCCAAATATGAAGTTTTATATCTTAAAAAATATGCAGTAATTGTAACCCTTTGAAAATAGGATTTGCCAGGTAAGACTTGGAAACAAAACATGAGCCGTAGCAGCCCGAAGCTACAGGCACCTTAGTCTCTTTCTCTCGAGTCAGCAGTGTCCTTTCTCTGACTCTCAGAAACATTTTGGCATAATGAGGGTCAGAGCACCAGGGATCCCACAGAATAGCTGCACCCTGGTCTCTGCCACCCATGGACAAGAGTCTCTGGTCATGTGACTTAACATCCATGACTACATGCCCTCCTAAAGGGGATGATCTTTGCTATGAGGATTAAATAAGTTGATACAAAGCACTTTGAAAAGAACCTAAAAATAGTGAACATTCAATAAATACTGGATATTATTCCCTCAAAACTAATGTGCTTGAATTTATAGAATTAATTTTATAAATAGCTTACAGAAATATTTTTAAGTAATCTTGACTCTGAGGCCCCATGCCACCCACAACCCTCTGCTGCAAGTGGTATGACTGCCTGTCCCACTGCCTTTTTGCAGTGTACTCAAAACTATTCTGAAAAAGAAAAAGAAAAAGAAAGAAATCTTATTCTAGCTTGTAGCCATTTAAAATGTAATGTCTACCCTCTAGCCACACCCACGGTACCTTTCACTTGAAATGTAATTTAAGGAAGAAATGTATTTGGAAGAAATTTCTGCAATGTAAGATTTCAGAAAATAAAGATATAGAAGGATCTTCCCATTCCTCACTTAATTTTGATGTATAACTGAACTTCAGCTGGCTCCAACCCAGTTACCCACATGGATGTATTTAGGGTTGCCTGGTCATGTGGATAATAAAATGTGAAGCCTTGATTTTACATGTTAATGTATCCTTTTCTGTTTATAAGTACTTTCCATGCAACTGTCTCGTCCATTCATCCCCAAGGTATGTGAGGCCTGACTCCACTCCAATTTTAGACCTTAACAAAAGTTAAATGTGCTTGTTTCTAGGTGGAATGCAAGATTACAACTACGTCTGGGCCCAGTGTTTTGAAATTACACTGGAGCTGTCATGCTGTAAATACCCTCGTGAGGAGAAGCTTCCCTTCTTTTGGAATGATAACAAAGCCTCGTTAATTGAATATATAAAACAGGTGCATCTAGGTTTGTAAGCATTTCTTATTACTTCCTTAACACACAGTAGCACGTACAGAGCCTTAAGGCTGAACATATACAAGCCTGTGTGCAGGGACAGGTACAGCCTCATTTTCAGTACTGGAACTAAGGGTTAAGAATTCTCTACATACTACCTGTCATGTGTGAGAGATGCAGTGCCTGTCTGTTCTTAAAAGAGAATCATGCATGTTCACTTGATTTGAGAGTCAAAAAACCCAGATTACCCTGAATTTTACATATTGAATGGTGTGTAAATCAGACAAAAGATCAGGAAAGCAGAGTGTTACTCTTTTGCAATATCTCCAATAAGAAGCCAAGTTTGGGCCAACAACATGGCTCAGCAGGTAAATGTGCCTGTTACACCAAGCCTGACAACCTGAGTTGTCCTCTGACTCCCCATGGTATGTCATGGCCTCTAAATAATAAATTTTAAAAATTGAAACAAAACATCACCAGCATCTTCATAGTTCCAAGCATGTTATTGGCTCTTCCTCCCTCTCACGTCAGCACCTTGTTTTAGGTCTTCTCTTACTATTCTGGCACTTCATTCCCGTGAGTCATGTGATAATTTAACCTTTCTATCATATCTATGCCAATATTGATGCGTTAGTGTGTTACTCTGAATTCTCTTGTAAAATTCACCCTCATCAGTATCAACATGGAAGTTCGACTGAACATGAAATGTGCTCTCTGAAACTGCACTGTTCTTTTCAGACTTTTAATCTAGCGTTAGATAATTCATGAGCACGGAATCAGAGTGGGTTTTGCAGTGTCGTGTTCATAGAATATTACCGCGAAGGGCTGTGTAAACAGATAACATAAAATGGCAGTATAAACATTGTTGTTAGTATTAATTTGAAGCACTTACAAGTCCATTTACACTGAGTTGTATGAAGAATATTTATCTGCCTCTCCCTACAATCAGAAGTTAA